AACGGGTGGTTGTTGTGGGTTTGAAGCCCTTGGATATCAAGTGATTGATGGCAACATATATGAAAACCCCACAAGCAAGACCCATGGAGATTGAGTATATCCAATCTGCTGTGCGTCCCTCTGCTGTGGCGTCGATGGCGATTCCTATTCCCACGCCTACTGGGCTTGAGACTGCAAACGCTAAGGAATACGCCACCGTTGTCGCAAACGGTCTCTTGGGCAGCATCCTCAGCAGGGCGATCCCCATTCCTATCGCTGCAAATATCTTGTGCAGCGATATTGTCCACAAGTTTCTCCATGCTTCCCCCTTGCTCCCTATTTCATTCATTCATTCATTCACTGTTTTCAGACAACAATTAACAATCTATGTATATGAAGGGCGATTTCTCGATCGTCAACTAACCATACTGTGTTTCTGTTGCACCCGTGTGTCACGTATATTTCATACGTTTCCTAGTTCGTATATATACACATCTTAATTGGATCTTTTACAAGATATCAATTCAGGTTTAATTCTGAATATGATCCTAGGCTGGCTGAGTCGACTGACTGAACTCATCAAATTAAAGGGAGTCTCCTAAGAAAAACAATAGCTAACTGATTATTCATATGCGTTACTTTTGTTGAGGATATTCTTCTTTTCAACATACGGTACTGTTTTCCTCTTTAATTTAGCCCTAAAGTTTCAGTTATATATGGAAGCTAGCTGACTTAACTGTTCGAAGGTTACATTATTGCAAGGCTAGCTAGACTAGCAGTTCATTCGCCACTTTTGTAAAAGACCAGTGCTAAATGCCTAAATCGATGCCAGCAAACTTACATTCTCAAGATGCTCTTATTTCGTAAATTGAAAATTGTTGTTGTGAAAATAGTATGATAGTGGGATTCCATGAATTTTGGTTAAAATCATGCATCAGTATGATAGGCTTCCTGCAGGAGGAAATCAACAAGGTAATTTCCATAAATATAAGAAACACACACACGCACACATATTGATTATTGAAATACCTGAAACTCCGACGGCAATACCCTCAAACACCGAGTGAAAAACACAAGGCAACGATGAGAAGGATGGTGTCTCCCACGTTAGTAGTCTTCACAAATATGGGGTTAACCTCCAATCCAACCTCTTGGGCATGTTCTTGGGGTGTTCTTCCTCCTTCCAGTTCCAACACCTTGGCTTCCCTCTCCTTATGGCTGGTCACATAAATCACTACACAATCACCAAGCATGGTGAGGAGATAGCCCGCACAAGCCAGCATGAAAGCGAAAGGGTATGTTTTGGTGGTGAGATCACCGAAGGTCTCATTCGCATCGCTCAAGAAATGTATCATAGAGGTTCCCAAGAAAACTCCACCCGCGAATTGAGTTCCCAGAAGAAATAAACGTCTCGTTCCAACGGAAAAAGTACGGTGACATGCCGCCGGCGAAGGTGCTTACTAGTAAAATTATCAAACACCATATTTTTACTAAGATCAGGCCCCTTGAACGCAAATCTACCGTCTCTCCGTCGCTGTGATGGTCGCTGCCTCCGTGGGCTTCGATCGGACTCAGGTGCCAGCCAATGAGGCACAGCAATAGAAGCGTTGACCTTAGGGCAGCCATGGAAACCTACAAATGTTGTATACCTGGATGGCTAACGTACGTGTTTTGCAGATATCACATGTATGGTTTTGTACTATATATGGAGCTTGTACTGCAATTTGACTTTTCTGGGTTATGTACTACACCACACCCGATGGGCAAGGCTTTTTTTCCCCCGCTTGGGGACTGACACCATAACGATAATAATAATGTTTTGAGATTGATCCCTCCGTTTACTACAACAGATTAAGCTTATAAGGCTTAATATTGTCGTCTGGTGTAGTACTGTAGACAACGATGACTGATCATATATAAGGGTAAAAAATTGGTTCAGTTTTATTATAAATTTTTTCTTCAAGATTTTGACCTTTAATTTTTGAGTTCCGTTTAATATGAAGTATTGAAAATGAAGAATATAAACTAGGATTGTAATTAAAAAAATTTATTAAAAAACTCTTTAACATGAGTAATTGCTTATTATATAGTATTAGACAAACCTATAAAAATATGATTGGGGAATATCATTTCTCTTCGTGGTATTCGTTAATCCTATATACGAGGATTTGTTTAATCCTATGTAATAAGTAATTTCTCATACTAAACACTCTTGTAATATATTTTTTCAATCTCAATCCCCATCTCTGTTTCTCATTTTTAATACTTCTTATCAAACAAGGTGTTACAAGTTAAGCATTTTATTAATTATGTTCAATAATTATTGCCAAGTTCAATTTGTAACCACTCATTTTTATAATCACACCCGTACCAGCTGTTCTCCGCGTCCTTTTCTGTCTCGGGAGATGATGACATGAATGACGACATACGTGGATTAGAGAAATAAGTTCTTGAATATAATGCTTAGAAGATAAAATTGAGTGTTTGCTAGTAGGATTGCTCAAAAGCAGTCTTTTCATACATTATAACTAGGAAAGACGCCAGTGTTCTATTTAGCGGGTAAAATAGTAGTAATAGTAATATAATACTATTTCCTGTCTTTAATATAAGATCCCGTTTAAATTTTAGTTTGGTCCTAATTATAAGACCCCAATCTATTTTATCTCTCATATTTATACATTTTTTTCCAAGATAAGCCTTCTAATGATGATAGTTCTAGCCAATACATTAATCAATAAGGATATTTTAGGAATAACAAACACTTATTTATTACAAATAACTAACTTAACTTACTTCTTTAATCTCCTCAAATTAGTCAACTAGGTCTTATAATTAGGACTGGAGGTAGTAATAATGAAGATGATGACAATGATAATAATACAACTATCATATATTTAAACTAATTTACAGTGGCAGGTAACATTATTATTACACAAAAATTTGGGAAAATATGTCAACACAAACAAGAAGGAAGGAGACAAATAATCCCTCCCAGATACCTGCCTCTTTTTATATTATGCTTAGTAATCACCACTTTTTTTAATCTTATGTTTAGTATCTAGTTGAATTTTCTTATATCCAAATAAAAAATCAAAACTATTAATTGAATATATTAATATGGTATGATATTGAAATTCGAAAACAATGACATAACTGTAGTGCTTCAATCAATATATATATAATAAAATTAAAATTAGTTGAACTATAATTTTACTATTATACTTCGAAATTTATGTTCATTTAAAAAGCAAGTTGCATTACCCTTACATGAGCCACCGTTTATTTTTCTTTCGGCCAAACAGCTGAAGATTTTACATCATACGATAAAGATTTTTTTTTTTTTTTAAAAAAAAAACTTTCCTATCATCATGCGTTGCAAGCATCCCTCTTTTGTGGTGGAAAAGGGCCCAAAATTACGGCCCAGACTGAAAGGGGTTTATCTAATACGCAGAAAGGGTTAAAAAAGGAAAATCAAACGAAAATTTTTCCATAATTGAAATGTATTTTAGACTAATTTCATAATACCACACTTCTCTAGTCCTATTTATAGAGTAGAGAAAGAAGACATTTTTTTATTCTATTTATAGGGCACTAAGAGAAATTTTTTTGTATAGATATACAATTTTACGCTCCATTTATTATTGTGTTGATTTTGTTTAGATAAGGTATAATGTATATTAAATAGGGCTAAGGTTGGAAAGTTATTGAATTTTAAATGAAAGTTAATGAAGTTTAAGATTTTCTTTGATCTATATAAAATATGTTTGAAGTGACTTAAAAATAAAACCAGAGAAGTATATAATACTCCCTTCAACTATTTTTACGAGTTTCAATTAATCACTTTACGTGTATTAAAAATTAATTAAAATTAGTTTTTCTTGTAAAGTTTTAAAATTATCCTCGACAAAAATTAGGAGCTAGAGGTATTACGTTAATTATTCATACTTTTTATAAGAACCAAATTTAGATCAAGTTAGTTAGGTCAGGTATATCCAAATGAGAAATAAGGTTTTGCCATGTGTTTTAATTAGACATATAATCATTTAATCTCATTTAGCTCTGCTAACGACGATAGACTAGTGGCCAAGGAAAGAATGGTCGATTGTTTTCATTTCAATTCCAAAACCTTTGAACCATACATGCCTATCAACAAAGCTCAAAAAATGGTGGTAAGGACTCAATTCTTGAGGTTTGCCTTTGGGTGCAAGAACAAGAAATTCAATTGGTTTCTTCTTGTTCTTTTAAAAACGCACAACATGTCCCCATTAAATGAGTGTTTTAATTTCTTTGATCTCACTCTCTTTTATTAGTCTTCATTTTCTCTATCTCTATCCTACAATGAAGTTCATCATTAGGCTTCTCTGCCTCTAAGTCACAATAGGCATAAAAATTTTTCATAACTTTAAGTTATGTGCTAACCCTTTCAATTTTAATTTGTTCAATCACGTTCGAGGGTGTGAGTAGTGGTGAAGGTGATCTCTAGATAATTTTCACATGTAAGGGTTCTTGAGTTTTCCAACTCTTGATTAATTTCGACTGTTATTGATTGGTACAGTGCAAGTCTCTGGACTTATTATGAAACAAACCATATACGAAACAATCATCACGTCATTGAATTTTCAATCAAGTCCTTGGGTTCTTTATATTTCCCACTTTGAATTTTTGGGCACGCAAGGATTATTAAGTTTTAGGGATGAAAACAATACAGATATAAAACAATCAACTGCCGTCTGATTTCTTTGGTGCAGGTCTTCAATGGCGGTCTCCTTAGAGAACCGTGAGTGACGGAGTTGAGCAGGGCTAAGTCATGAATGTCTAATTAAAACACGTGGCAAAAACTAATTTACTATTTAGACATACCTGACCTAACTAACTTAATCTAAGTTTAATCCTTTTTATAACTAGTTAGGAATATTAAGTAAAAAAATTAATACTTTAAAACAGAATGCATTATATTATGAATCATAAAAAAATATCTTTACAATAGGGATGAGGTTATGGGAAGGAGCATGTTACATTTTGAACAAATGAAGAATTAGAAATTTTACAACCATTTTATTGGAAAAATTAATAGTTGCGTCAACAAACTCGCTCAATACGCTCATAACGTGAACATTAGAGTATTAACTTTTCATCAAGGCCCCAAAAAAAAAAAAAAAGAGTAATAACTTTTCATGAAACCCTATTTTCTATTCAGGACGCCAATATTTCAAGATTTATGAGCATGAGACCCTAATAAAACTCATTCATGCAAATGCTCAAAACAGAATTGTGCACAATATTCATGCGTTTGAAGAACCCTACACAGTATCTGCGCCTTCAGACTCATTGTCCCCACTATTTCCCTGCCATCCAGACCCCATTCTAAATTTACACACAGGGCATTTTGCTTGCTGTCGCAGCCATGGATCGATGCAGTTCGTGTGAAACTGAGTCAAAGGCCAAGAAACAAAGCAATGTGAATAATAAATCGCTTATATATATGCAAATCACACACACACACACACAGATTCATGTAACCACCATTTGAAAGCGCGCTAAGATCCTCTTCAAATCAAACGCGTTATGCAGCAACAAGAGAGGCAAAACAAATTCAGAATAGAGAAAGTAGCAAGGGGCCGAACCTGATGCAAACATGGCAAGCTACGAACTAGCTCCCCTCTCTTAACTTGTTCCAAACATATAGTACACGTTAGCTCATCTTCTGGACCCTTCGCATTTCCCTCGGTCCCGCCGTTATCTTGCCTAACCTGTGCTTTAACATGACATCATTCTAAATTTACTACTCAACATTACAAGCAAGCTCAGTTTGTAAAGATCCAAAACAAAACAGAAAAAATGGCCTCAAGACTAGCTATAGTATCGGAAAAGCAAGCTACATATATGATATCATAGTTGAAAAACGTCACAGGTCCAGTTTTGAGACTTCCATAGAAAGTTCGACTGTTTTTCCTGTCTCGCTGAAAATTCTGTTAGGCAATAACATAACCTTAGAGTGAATGAAGCTTGCAACCAGGAGTTAAATTAAAGTAAGTGATTACACCATCATTGCTGAAAATTGTAAGAATCAATAAATTAACCAAAAGAAAGACAGGCGATAGAGGTATCGACCTCGGTTGCGCGTGAAGAGGAAGCCAACCCAGCTGAGCCATCCCTATTGACAGAAAAACAAAGTTTGGGCCGCATCAGTTTCATGAGTCAGCACTTCTTATACAAACATGGCATAGACGATGCGGGGAAATTGTACTTTCTATGAGAATTTTGACATGCTGTCCCTTTCTTTATACATCTGAACATATTATCTTTTAGAACCTTCTATTTATACTCCTTTTCTGACTGATCCTCAAGTAAACGATCAGCTACTACTTCAAGACCAAATTATCACCCACCGATTTTGTTGCTTTTGCATATCATTTAATTGAACATGAAGACTACGCCAGGGATTAACACCAGATCTTGTTTTTCTAGCAACACACCAGTAACAATTGGGGACATAAAGTCAAAACCGCACGCAATGACAAATTTTGCAACTTCAGTGAGGCATTTCTGTTCAGCCTGAAAAATAATTAATTGAACGAATAAGCTTCTCCAGGACAAGGGGAGCTCATGCTTTTATTTTAGACCTCCCACTTGATTTGAATCTAAATTAAACCTACCCTAATGCTCCAGTTTACTGAATACAAACATACCCTAAAAGAATAATGAATTTGGATAGCTTGGCAATCACCAACATGTTCAGAACCAAAAAAGCTACACAAACACAAGAAAGAAGGGAGGCCTTCCTCTGCGGAATTCACAATTATTTTCTTGAAAAGACTAACACAACTCACTTTGTTGGGACAGGAACTTTGTATGTGTGAACAGGTAAGGCATTTATCTCTTCATCAGTCATTGAAGTAGTAGTAGAAGCAGTGTCAGATTCCAGAGTCCTCAGTGTCTCATAATCTGCCCCGGTATGAAGGAAGAACAAACAGAATTACATGAACCTTCATGCCCTAGTATGCGACCTTTAAAAGCACCTTGATCTTAAAAAGAACGCTAAATCACACAGAAGTTAAAGTAAAAATTCAAAGGCATAATACCAAGCTCATCAAATTCACGGTCAAGAAGCGCAAGCTGAAGTCTGAGTCCTTGCAAGCGTCCTCTAGCTGCAATTGCTATGGACGGCGGCATGTGAAGTTGTAATTCAGCTGCTGCGGCATGAGCCCTTGCTTGAGCTTGAAGCTGTTGCCAAGTTACATACATCCTCAGGCTTGTGGCCATCACAAACACAATCAGCATAAGCCACATCTACAATCAATTGCATCCATGGTCATGACATTGTGAATGATGTATACTACTCAACTATCAACATTTTCGCATAAAATGCCTAGTGATTTCTTACCAAAAAATGTGACATTTGGGGAGAATTCAATATCATAAACAGCATGATAACTGCAGACCAAACACGTCAGATATGAATTGACGATGCATTCTTAAAGAGTAGAAAGGCATTATATACAGAGGCTACTAAATCACCTGTGATGAGAAAAGCCAGAGCATTGCTATTTACTGGCCGGGCTGGATGGACACGCTGATTGGGAGAAGGAGAAGACCAGAAGAGCTTGGTCAAATAATCTATTAATAAAATATGAGCTTGTTGGAAGTAAACCAGCACGAAGACTAATGTTCAAAGGAACAATATATACCATCGTGGTTCTTTCAGGAACATATTCTGAAAATCCACTTTCCACATCTCCTCTGCTCCCTCGGAAGACGAAACTCATGATTGCTACTCTTTCAACCAACAAGTCACAAAGACACTATGCCTGCTAGGATAGCACAAGAGAGAGTTAATTTTATCAATGCACTTGCTTTAGTGATCGATCAACATGGTGAAAATGCCAATCCCGAGTCTCGGAACTGACTGTGAAGAATGACCAAGTTATAAGTAATTATGCAATCAAGCACCAGCAAGAGCACATAAACAGAGATCAAAGCGAGAGACGTGATTTAGCAATCACACTCGTGGATTCCTTATCAGTATCACCAATTTTCTACCAAAAAAAAAAAAAAGAAGAGTTCAAGGCTATTAGAGTTTATCATTAATCACCCGGGGAAAACAAGTTGATTATAGTGTAAACAATAATCTCTAAAACTGACAGTTTATTCAGTGAAATTGAAAGAAATAATACTATCGCACTGTGAGGGATAACAGGTTAGAAATGCGATTACCGGAAGACCCACAAATATCGCTCTTCTCTCTTTTTCGAGAAAACTAATAGGACTGGCTGAATTTAGGAACGCACCAATTTAAGAATTAATCATCAACGGGAAAAAGGACACCTGCGAGCTCCAATACGACCCCAGTTATTATTATTAAGGAGAGGGAGAGAAAGGATGGAGATGATACGGGATTTTCCAGAATGCTCTCCGACATTACGTTTTATATAAAAAGCATAAGATTGCTTCCCTTTCCTGTTGGTTTCCTGGTGATCCTTTCTCGGCAGCCAACGAGATATCAATGCAGAAAATACCAAAAAACAAAGCTTAGAGATGGTGATGGTACTCACGAGGAGTCTGGTTGGAGGTAAATGAAGTGAGAGTGGATCTTCAACTGTGAGGCTCCTCTGTTACTTTCAGTGTTGCTGGCGGTGATGTACTTCTCTTCCCAACTATTACTTATAGATGCAATTACTTGTTCACCACCTACTTACTTTTTCCGAAAGAAACACTCGCGAGAATTTAGTTTGGATAATGGACAGAGGAGAAATCTAGAGTCCAAGAGCTGACACCTCGATGTGCTCTCCATCCAACCGCTGCCACGCCCTCTTGGCATGCAAGAAGGTTGAGCCTGCGTCGTTGGATTGAAGCTCCCCATAGGATGCCTCATATTGCGCCCAAAAGCAACACACGGTCGTATACACTACCGCATTGCATTAAGCGGTGGATGACGGCGTTTTCCTTTTTTCTAGGATGTCGTTTGCTTGTTTTAGCTGGCTAATAATGTTGCATCCTCAATTCCTGTTGAGGCGCCATATATTAAAAAAGGGTTAAGCTGCGCTCAGCATCCTGAACTATTTATCCAGGTGTGTCCAACAGCCTAAAGTAATTTTGAGTGCATCCAGTGTCCTAAACTAATTAAAATGGTGCGTCCATATCCCAAACTAATAGAAATGTTATGTTTAACTGTTACTTTCCTGACTTAGCTTAAAATTGACCCCAGATATTCTACATGGTAAACACATGGGCACCTGATGTGTATTATTCTTACTCAAAAGTCAATTTATTTAGAAGAAGAGGAAGGAAATAAATTCAATTTTGAGTAAGAATAATACATATCAAATGTCCATATGTCTACCATTTAGAATATCTGGGTCAACTTTAAACTGAGTCAGGAAAGTAACAGTTAAACATAACATTTTTGTTAGCCTGGGATATGGACGCACTATTTTAATTAGTTTAGGATACTGAATGCACCCAAAATTACTTTAAGCCACTGGACGCACCTGGGTAAATAGTTCAGGGTGCTGGACGCACCATAGCCCATTAAAAAATTGAAAAAGAAACAAAGTCTTGTTTGTGAAACCATGTATATAATATATATTATGAGGCTTTGCTCTTTCGTGGAACCTATCTTAGAACGGGCGAATCCCTCCATTACAATTAGACTAGATGTCCAAATACGAGCCAATCTAGTCCAGATTTCCGTGACCCGTCCTGTCACATTTTTTATTTATTTTTTTAATTTTTTGATTGAAAATATCAAAGTGAGACATGGCTCTATTTTTAGAACAAGATGAATTTCATGCACATTAACTTTTTCCCCAGGAAATTTCATGTACATAACACACCAAATGACAATAAAAAAAAAATTCGACAGTTCATCTAATTCTCTCCAAAAATCACAATTATAATTCACATTTCACAGAGAATGAAGAGGGAGGGAGACAAAAAATAAGGATGGCGGTTAAGAAAATTAGGACGAGGAACTCACCTGGGGGCTTGAAAAGATTGATTCTATATTAAAATATCGCATTAAATATAAATCCCTATTTAATATGAACAATATAAATAAATTGGGATTATTATCGTTGGCCAAAAAAAATTGGAATTATCATAATAAAATAGAATTTGCATCCCATGCTTTACAAAGTTTGAAAATGAACTCATCTTTCATAAATTAATTCAAATCTCATATTCACGGAAACAATTATATCAATATTAAGGGCCCGTTTGGTTCAATTACCAAGTGCTTATAAATAATAATGCATTGTGATACAATGGGGTGTGATGTAAATTTCCTTACCATCAATATGTTTGGTAAGTTATTAATAAGATTTGGCAAAAAAAAAAAATTATCTTTTACATTTAATCAAATAAAATAAGATTAAAAGTCTAGAATATCCCCAATCATAGGCAAAGACAGAGATGCTCCTACACCTCCTTCTGCAATTGCCGATCCCCTCTGTCAAATCCTTGCAAGTCACAACACCTCTTCAACAACTCATAGTCCACCTCCATATTTGCTTCAGCTTTGTCTTGAATTTTCCAATTTGAAACATTTTCAGTTTTCTTCTCTCCATAATTAGACTACAGTGAACAAGAAAGAAAGAACCAAATTAACATTGCTTTTCTCTATACAGATGCCTTCAGCGTCTTCAGCTCTTAGACGCAATACAGTTCTTATATGTCATTTCAACATCCATTGTCTCTCACTGTGATGACCCTTGTGCATTGCCCATCTTGCATGACTTTGTGCTTTAGTTACATTTGAGTTCTCTCACTGCCGGCAACAATTCCCTTTCTCCATCAACTGTGTTTACATGTGATGCACCCAAAACAACACAGATCTAGAGAGAGGGGACAAATATCAACAAATTTGGAAGTAAAGGTGAAGTAGTATGAGGAGGTGACGACAATAAAGGAAAGAGACAAGGGAGAAGGAGAGGCAGTGATGGTGGTAATGGAGGGAGAGAGAGAGGTGAAAGATAAAGTTTGGAGAGGGATAACATTTAAGCGCAAATATTATATTTTCACATTGATTACGAAGAATAAAATGGACATTCATGAGAGATTACAGCCTTGCAATGATCATTCATAGCTCCTCACATAGGAATAAATATTACCCAAAAAGTACAATTGATATTGCCATTATAATCTTTTTTACCATTAGCAAGTCAAACCAAACATATCATTTATGGTAATACAATAAGTATTATCATTGCAAGCTTGCAATGGGGTTGAACCAAACAGGTCCTAAGTTTTATAATAAATTTCAATATCAAAGCACTGCTTATAATGTAAATTATGGTCATCTAGGAAAATGCGAGTCGAAGAAGATAAGGCAGATCCAGCGTCTGTTATATCATAAACTGTGATCCAAGAGGGAAAAAATCGAATTATGACAACGGATGAAGGCCTCGAAATCCATGTTTTGTTATTATACTACCAAAATTACTCCGCTTTGCAGTAAACATTAAGCACAACACTGCGGTTGACACTTGACACAGCACAGTAATTTCATGGATCGGATCGGACGTCAGTTTTCAGATGAGTGGCTCGGCCAGTTGTCCCCTGACTGTTGGGTGTAGCTATTGTTAATACTCGAGTATGAGACTTAGGCGGTTTGGTATTTGACAAGCTATTGGTAACCGTTTTTCAAGCTAAATACTGCCTCAGGCATGTGATGCATTTTGTAATGCTAGAAGTCGGATTTTATAAATTACAATTTTAACTCATAATCCAGCAATACGTTACATCACTAGACACTGCTTTTTTGCCTGACTCCATTCTTTTGCTGTGTATAAAATATAGCTTTCAATTGTACATTCAAATTAGAATTTCGAGAAATGATTTTGATTAAAATTGCAAGATACAATTTCCCCCCTTTTTAATCGATATTTAAATTCTTCTCAATTAAAACTTTACTTTCGAGTGTTTTATATTTTGCCAAGCTTCTGTTCAGTTCATAAAAGTATCATTTAGGAAAAAAAATAACAAAAAAGAATGCGATATGGTGGTTAAAAAATGTATGTGATAGTCGTTTCAAAATGCATGTTTAGATCACAATAAATGACCAAAGAAGAGCGTGCACAAGATATTGTTTGGATGGGGGTGCGTGTGAAGCGAATGGGAGAGAATATATATTAAAAAGGGAAAGGATAGAAGGAGTAGAAGTGGTGAAGAAGGTGCGACGTAGGTAGTTTACCAGAAACAGCAAAGAGGAAGGGGTGAAGCAGCTGGGATGGGGGTTAAGAAAATGCCGCGTGGAACGTTTCTGCCAGCCAAATGAGGCCCCAACACCCCATCCTTGACCCTGTCATAGGAATACGAAGGCCGACTGGGTCAACTCAACCCTGAACTGAAAGTACACCCATCCTGAAATGTATGCATCATCTACTGCCCAGGGTCGGAGCTCTGCAGCTGGTTGCCCCGCCACCCAATCCCATCCATCACCTAACTCCTACGCACACCATCCATATCAACAATTGCAGTTATTTTATTCTCCACAATTTGTCACAACCATTCTATACTGCAAACTGGAAGCGGCATCTTATGCCAAGAAATTAAAAAACATAATCTATCTTGAACGAATGATTACAATGAATATGCGACGGGATAAACTTGGCATGGGCGATTGGGCGAATCAATAATTTAGAGCACGGGGTCATAAGCATCGCTTTCGCTTCTTCTTTGAATCCATAGCTGTGTGCTCCGTCGGTTCTCTCAGCTACCAACACCATCACTGCCAGCTAGCAATGTGAAGTAGCGCACGTTTCTTTCCCACAAAAATTGCAATCTACCGAATCAAGTCGTCAGACCCATTTCGTAATCTTTCACAGATCCGCTAATTGATGCAGAATTAAAAATTTATACTTGATAGTTCTATGCTATGTACAGAATGAATCTCTTCCCTGAAAATGGTGTCCCAAATCAATAATTTTCTTCCCAAAATTGCTATTTCCAAATTCAATCTTCCAAGACCCAAGTTCTGCTGCGCCTCCTCGAGTTCCTACCGAATAATGAGATCGAATGGCTACGACTTATGCTCATGGACTCGCGCTCAGAACCAGCTGATGAACTTGAACTTGAACTTGACCTTGACCGGCGCCTCCCAAAGAATGACAAGAAGTTGCGAACGATTCTGCCAAAGCCACGACTTTCTCTGACTCTGGTGCTTCTCGCTGCTCGGGAAACTGTTCTCGGAGCTCCGTTTGCATTGAGTCCTCCGTCCATTTCTGTGTATACAACAGGGAAATGACTCTCACCGGCTCTGCGACCACCAGAGAACCTCCCAACCGCGAAGCCCCCGCCAGGCAGCCTCCAAATCGTCAATCCTACTGTTTCGTCATCGATTTGCCCCGACATTCTACTGTCCACTGTGTTCCGATCTGACGGCAGCTCATGGCGGCACACGGGGCACGAATTGCGCATTGAAAGCCACGGGAGGATGCAGTCTGAGTGGTATATGTGCTTGCAGGGCATCTCACGCGCCTCCGTACCCAGTTCAAACGCCTCCTTGCACACGGCACAGTGGGCATCGGAACCCACATGGGTCTCCTCAATAACGACCGTGGGCATCGACTCTACGGCTGCTTTGGAAGCGGGCGGGTTCTCGGAACGCCCGAACCCATTCATTTCGATCTGAGCAAACTGCTCCAGAAGCCGTTCGAACCCTGACCCTAACAAGAACTCAGACATGGTCGGCGGCAAGGGTCGGAGACCAGAGCCGTCCCCGTCATCGTAGTACAACTCGAAGCTGCTTTCCTCCTGGTCACCACCGACACCGTTCTGTCCGGCGGTTGCGTCGACGGGTCCACGAAGAACAATTACAGGGTTAAAGGGCGATCTGTTGCCGGCGTTGCGGCGTCTTCGACGGAACCCTTGTCGGCTGAAATCGTAGGAAGTAGGAGCTGAATCGGGGAAGATGGGAGGAGGAAAGGGGCTCAGGTGGTGATGATCGGAGGAAGGGTGGTCGTGGATCTCTTCAACGAAGCCGCTTTGGCAGTGAGGGCAGGCGACATCACCCCGATCGGAGAGGCGGACAAAGCGGGTGCAGCTGTAGCACCAGTAGGAGGCCGGGAGGGGTGCCGTGTCGGAGTTCATCATCGGTGATTATGGTAGAGGTCCAGAGTTGACTGGGGGGAGAGAAGAGAGAATACGATGAATCTGCTAGGAGGAGCAAGAGGGGGGAGCGTGGTTATAAGAGACAGAAGAACGGGAAAGACGAATTGAAGAGAGAAACGTTTGCGTGTGGGCCACGCGTTTATGGTGAAAATACTTGGAAATTTCTAGCCATCAGAAATTAGACTAGTGGCGATGGGCTGGGGTGACGGCATCGGTGAGTTGGGCTCCTCGGATTAAGTGATTAAATAATTAATTGCACGATTAAAAGATGAGATCAGGAGCCTGTTTTACTTCATACTTAAGGGTATGTTTGGCTCAATGAGAGGAAGGGGAGGGGAGGGATTTTAATGGAGAGAAGGGGAGGGGAGGGGAGTGGAAGGATTTTAATATCACCTTGTTTGGATTTATAAAAAAAGAGGGGAGGGGAGGGAAAAATATTTTAATATGGACAATTTTGTTCTTATTTTATTTAAGGCGTGGGCATAATGGTCACAACATGACAAAATATAGACATAATAGTCACAACATGACAAAATATGAACATAATGGTCATAATATGACAAAATATTGCCTTTTCCCTCTAAATCCTCCCAATTTTGGAGGGGAGGTTGAGGAGGGGAGGGGAGGGGAAATTTTAAAAAATTTTCCCTCCTCTCCTAAAATTTGTGTGTTGCCAAACAAGGGAAAATGATTAAAATCCCTCCCCTCCCCTCCCCTCCCCTCCAAATCCCTCATACCAAACACACCCTAAGTATTTGTAAGCATCCTCTAAAATAAATAAAAAAATGACTGGAATTCTTTTTTTCTGTTAATTTCAGAAGTGTTCAAAAATGATACTGAAATATAAAATATTGCACTGTACAAGCCTTAATAGTAATAGTATAAAACCATATAAATAATCCTATTAAATTAAAGTAGAGAAATATAGGATCCCCGGCGAGCACTTGGGAGTAATTGTTAATCTAAGAAGACCACGACTGAAAAGTTAGTGAAATTGAAAAACAAAAAACAAAAAAGGGGTGAGAAGAAAAAGAATAAAAAGGAAGATATTGACCGCGTGGATTCAATGGAGAGACGCCGAGTTTGAAATTCAAATAGTACCCCGAGAGAGAGAGAGAGAGAAGATTCCTTAAACGAGGCATCCGGCCATCGCCCATCCCCCGCCAAAATACCCACACTGCCATCTTTCTCCTGCAAGGTTGAAATTAGTAATCATGGAAAATAATAAAGTCAAACAAGCGAACTCGCTCTATTTACAGGTTGGATTATTGGTGAATCCGCAAGTTTAATGAAAAAAAAAAAAGAAAAAATTACAAAAAAAGGAACTTCAAAATTAAAAAATTACATACAAAGAGTGGTTCGCAAAAATTGTTATCAATTATTTATTAATTATTGTTAAGACTGATATTAATATTATAATGGATCCTTATTTACAATTTTTTGATTTCAAAATTTTTTTTCGTGATTTTCTCATTAAAAAAAAAAAGATTTCAAAGGAGTGTCTCACAACTTAAATTCCGTCTTCGTTCCACCTCCCACTCAATGAACCTTAGTTGACCCGATTATGGATGACGTGGTTGTTTTAATTAGCAAACAGCTTAAAAATAATAAATATACTAATGCTGTTTAAAAAAAATCTAGGACCCCATTGAATTAGCAAATACACACGATATGAAGCATTCAGAATCAGCGACAGCAAAGATAGAAGCGCGGTCAACAAAAGGACATACAGAGGGAGAAGCAAAAGCATGAGAAATAGGAAGAGCCAAAGGGGCATGGTTTTTCTGAATGCCGCCAGTTGTTGCCTTTGTACAGTACACTGTGCAATATGCATTCACAACTCACAACTAACTGGCCCCGCGGCCCCGGCCCCCATCTCCATGAGAATCAGCCCCGCCCCCTCACAATCCAGCACGGCCTTCCTTATAATTTCTTTCATCTCTGTTTTTTCCCCCCAGCGGCCTTGCTTATAATTTCACTTATTTCTTTTTTTTTTTGTTGGGTGATTTTAAATAAATAATGAAAGAAAGACAAGTGCTACTCAATCATCCATAAATCAATAAGCATGTATAACTTAAAATCCATCCTGAGTATTACTCCCTCTCGTCCTATATATGTAAAAAGGTATAGCCCATTTCATAAACTTTAATTTTTTTTTAAAATCAATTCCCCCTGCATTTGATGTACGTTGCGGGAGGTAAAAGCTAATTTCTGTCAAATTAATTTTTACAATAAAATTAAGAGAGAATTACAATCAAGTCCCATAGAAGAGAAATAATTACAAAAAGATCCTAATAACAATCTCAACAACCTATAATGACAAGTCCTATAATGAGAAAAACAACCTCTGGAATTTGTTTTTCAATTGTTTTCATTGCTTTGAATCTCATCGTAATTCTCCCTAAAATTAATATGTATTTTGCATTAATTAATTTTTTTATCACGCCAGCAAGTTTAAATTTTGAACATGTTCCCATATCCCATCCCACCATTTTAAATTAATTATTAATAAAAAATGACTTGAAAAAAAAAAAGTATCATGCTTCTCTTCTTGATCTTGAAAGTTGAAACACTATTCCTCTTCTTCTCTTTCTTTTCCCCATGAGCAGTCTTAAAACACCTTCCTTCCTATTAATCTCAATAAAAAATATAGTCTGTATTTTTTTTTTGCGAACTAATTTGTATTTTAATGGAAACTATTAAACTATAAATCAGTTCTTGTATTAAAAATGAGAGGCAGTACTTATAATTTTTCCCACCGAACATTTCCATGATTGAGGCATATTCATGATTTTCAGTCTGATTTCTTCTAAGATGCCCAACGTGTGCTGAAATGATGGTGGCTGAATGGAATGGATACAAAGATGAAGGTTGTAACATCTGATCAAAAAAAAAAAAAAAGAAGGTTGTAACAAGCCCTAAAAAAACAAGTAAAATCACAATATTTTGTCAAACAGCAGGACAAGCGGAACTTACACGGAGGATGTACGCGTTTTGATGATTTCAAATCAGGGTAGCTCGAGATCGTTATCTACCATCATTAAATTAGTGCGACTTGGCGTCAAATTAAAACACTACTCCTCCTACATAAATAGATATAGATAATATGACAAACAGAACAAAGAATGTCATTATATGATGCCCAATCAGCTGAAGCCACAGTTTAGGCATCCCCCGAACAAACCCTCCATTCCCTCGCCTGACTTTCTGTGAAGGACGACATGCGCGTAGCTTCTTACAAATTAAAATAAAAATAAAAAAGTATATATGCCTGTGTATTCTTGTCAAACCCGCGGCTACCAAAACGCAACGACTATTGTCTACTGCTCGTCCGTCCGACAGAAAATACTCCTCGATCGACCTTTTTCTATAAGGAAAAAAAAAAAAAGAGAGTTAGGCATCGTACGTTCACACTATTTGTTTACGGTCTCTCTTAAAAAGAGAGAGAGAGAGAAAAGAAAGCAGGAAAAACACTGTAAAACCAAGAGAGGGAAAAAAAAAGTAAAAAACCGGCGCACATCTCTAGTTGCCCACTGTACTCGATTTGCAAAGACAAAAACCAAAGAGGAAAAAAAACGGTCCTATATCATCTCGAAGATCTGTCCACCATCTCTTTGAGCTGCGGGAGAAGAATTCGGCCAGGTGAGCTTTTGAAATCAGATTTGAGTTGAGCGTGTCCATTTCTTCCCTCACCACAACCTCCAACTTTCTTGCATTGGAGATTAAAGGTTCTGGCTTGTTTGCTGTTACCCAAGATTATCAAAGATACGAGTTTGACTCCTTTGTTAGGAAGCTTTGCTTCTTCTCTGTTACAGCAGTTCACTGAAAGCAATAGAAACACGAGTGTTCGGCATCAGAATTTGTTCTGTAAAGCTAACATTTAATCTGTTTTCCTTTTCCGGACGGTCTTTTGATGTTGCTCTCGGGCAAAAACATTTAGCTGGCCAAGGATTTATTTCCATGATCTCGTTGCCCATTAAGAAATTGAACCTTCTGCAGCGGAAACTCAATGACTGTGCTAACTTCAATTTCGCAAAACTTGTCAAATGGTGAGATCGAGTAAGTTTGTTGCGCTGGCCGCTGATTTTGAGTTTCAGTTTTTAGGTACCATATCCAATATTTAATATAATCTTGTCTAAAAGTGGTGTGTTTTTCAAACGCCAAATCGAAGACGAACTTGTGCACATCACACTCATTTTCTTATAGTTTATTTTTATTTTAAAGTTATATTCTGTTTTTATCAAGAAAAAGATTACTGCTATAATCTTACCTCCGCTGAACACTAACAGCGCAGTTAAAAATGAATCTGTTATCTGATCAAAAAAGGAAAAGGGAAGAATCTCTATGGAAATGTGGCAGTATTTTGATGTAATACAGGACTTCGATTCACAAAAAGCACAAAATGAATGTGCTTGCGATAGAGATGTGAAGACAAGCAATCCGGCAATTGAGGAAAATGGGAAGGCCAAGGAATCTAGGATTCTAGTGGATGGGAAGATTTCGATAGGCGATGATATGACTTAATCATCGCCGTCGTCGTCAATAATCTTCTGGCCAAATCCTTTAGGGCCAGCCCTAACTCTGACCTTTTTCTTCTTCTTTTGCTTGCCAGTATTAGCAGCTTCTTCCTTCTCGAATTTATCTTTCTCTCTCTTCTGCAGGAAATCCGTGACTCCTAAATAGATGACCTGCACAGGAAAGGGCGCGCCAGAATGAGGAGGAGGGAATTGAAAGGAAAGAGGAGAACAGAGTGTTTACCCCGAGAGTGGAGGATGGAGAGGCCAATGAAGGCAACGAAGAGAAGAGCGGAGATGACGGAGGAGACGCCGTCATCAAATCGGTGGCGGAGACAATGTCCTGGGCAGTCTGAACGACGGTGGATTCGGAAGGCGCAGCACATGGAGGAGAGGCCGAATTCTGCGGAGGTTGGTGCTGGGATGAGAAATTGGAAGGAAAGGGTGATTGAGAGTGAGGGGCGTGCGGAAGGGGAGAACCGGGAGAGTTGCAGAGATGGGGATGAAGGAAGAGAGGCGGGAATTGGGGGAGAGAAGGATGCTACTGCTAATGCGGGAACCATGGCTCCTCTGTGCCCAATCCATCTCCGTACTCCTTTTGGGGACTTCTGCTCCATCATGGGTTGGGCCTCCTGATCCATTTTGGGCTCACTCTTATAACCACGCATTCTCGTTCGTCGCTCCCTATCATTTCTTCACTCTTGACAAACATTTGTGTGAAATTTGAAAATTACCTGTAATGCTCATCACTTATAATAACGCTGTCTTTTACTAATACATTATATATATATTGGTGTCCCTCAGTTGGGAGACCCACGATTACTAACATTGCTTATTCTATACGTGTTGTGCGGTGCACAGATTTTTTTTTTTTTTTAGGTAAAGGATGCACTGATTATTTTTATTACGTGTTGTTGAATATTCAGCACTGAAAAAGAAAAAATAATACAATTAGACACAAGTATTTTAAATCTATAACAGAGTATAACATCAAAGGCAAGTAACATCACAGCATGATCTGAATTTTATCCTGTTGGAACCCATAATTTATTTATTTTTTTTAAAAATGATTTTTGCGGGTCAAAAATCACCATATGGGGGAACCAGTTCCTTATATCGCCTGCCTGACCCGCGCATTTGGGGTTCGGTTAGCGTGGCACTCCTTTGCTTGCAGCCCTAAAGTCGGCATCGCACGCCTTTGTCGTTGAAGTTTTCCTGTCGTTCCCTTGTTGCCCTCTATATTTTTTTATAGTAGTATATGAAAATAAATAAACGAGAACTGCTTCAAATATTGACCAAACCCCGGGCTTGCAAGGGTGAGGGAGCTCCTCCAAAGTCCAAACCGGAAGAGAGAGAAGGGAAGGGTCCAGCGGAGCCGGAAATGAATGTGGGTTGGCTCCTTTGATTCGGGTGACGCGGGACAAGATGATTGGAGGGTACAGGTGGCAGGGACGCGAATCTTGTGTATTCGGCCACTGGTAAACAAATAATAAGAAGGAAATGCATATGCACAGAGGAGGGAGGAAGATGGATGAAATAGATATTTAGCGGATCTAAAATATCTGGCTCAGCCCTCCACCTCGGCACCTTTAACATTGCGATATTTCACTTTTTTCTCCGCTTCTCCTTTCTCATCAAAAGTGAAAAAAGTGCAAAATTTATATTGCCTCCCTCTCCCCTCCTCCTCCCCTTTCCCTTTCCCCAACAAATATCTTCACTCAGTTTCATTTCTTCTCTCCTTCTTCTGCCTCCGCCTCCCTCCCCTTTCGATCCCATATCCATAATCTTTTCCCCCCTTTTCCATATCATATGACTTCATCCTCACCCCTCCGTATCCCCGCCTGCCAATCTTGATTTGCCCTCGATACTTTCTTTCTATTAATGGGGGAGGAGGTCAAGATGACCGATTACGACGGCGCTGTCCCCGATGATGATGAGAGAGTCCTCGAATGGGAGTTGGGCCTCCCTACTGCCGATGATCTCACTCCCCTCTCTCAGCCTCTGATCCCGCCGGAGCTCGCCTCCGCCTTCAGCATATCGCCGGAGCCCAGCCGGAGTCTCCTCGACGTTAATCGTGCCTCCCGGAATACTCTCACCAATCTTCGCGGCGGAAGCTCTCAGGCCTTTTCCTCCAATAATTTCAAGTCGCTCAATGATGACGGGTGTCAGGACCCCATCGTGGTGGAGGCCGATGAAGAGGGCGATCGACATGGGTCGGGGTCCGATTCTCGGAAACTCAGGAAGATCGACTGCACCGAAGAAGCTGATTCGGCTCTGCGGACTGAGAATTCCACGGATGATCCGTCTGCTCGGACCTTGAAGCGGCCTCGGCTTGTGTGGACTCCGCAGTTGCACAAGCGGTTTGTGGATGTGGTGGCTCATCTGGGAATCAAGAACGCGGTGCCGAAGACGATTATGCAATTGATGAACGTCGAAGGATTGACCCGAGAAAATGTCGCCAGCCATCTTCAGAAGTATCGGCTTTACTTGAAGAGGATGCAGGGTTTATCCAACGAGGGTCCTTCATCATCGGACCAGCTCTTCGCTTCCACTCCGGTGCCGCAAAGCCTACACGATTCTGGTGGAAGTGGGCACTCTCATGGAAACGGGCATCTTCCGGTCCCGATTCCGATGCTATATCCACCGCCAATGATGCCCATGCCGGTTCTTGGAATGCCCCATGGTCAGGGTCATCCGCATGCTCACATGGGAATGCCGGTGGCCAATCATGGGTTCGACTCACATCCATATAATCTGTTGCAGCCAAGGGATTGGTCTGGCAAGAAATTTGCTTCGGTTGTATCAGACCCTCACGTTGCTACTAACGATAAATGAGCTTTCATTCAGAAATTTGTCAACAACTCAGTAACGGTGAGCATAGTTGAATTTTCTTCGTTATTTCTCATCAATCTTGTCCGTCTACCTGACCTTGTGATATGAGACAGTATAAAGGGAACCGATCAGGGATTTCATAACTGTTGTCTAATTCACTTGGAACAATAATGCAATTGGTGTTATTCAATTCAAATCTAATAAGATGTTACAGCTTATCTTTCCTTAAATGGCATTTTTTTCCAACCAAACCTTAAATGACATATTAGTTGGACATAATTTACATGTGATTAATTTAAGTGGCTTGTAGAAAATCTGGGTTCCACAACAAATATTCAGAACTGAGAACCACACAGAGATAAAGGTCATTGGTCATATGGCCTAAAGTAAGGCCCCTTTCAGGTACACTACGGTTGCAACAGCTCCGTCTCCCCTTAAACTTAGTAGATGACTATGAGAGACTCTGCATGTGATATATCGAAGCAGAGCGTATAATATACCCTGCTTGTCATTTCTATATCCATCTAGCCGGCATATGATTATAAAGGAGGACGTGCAATAAGCAGGTTATATTATATTGCTGTTCATTATAATCTGATGAGAGTGCGCGTGATTGACTGATGAACTTAAAGGAAATTATTAGTGGGTCATTTTGTGTCTTTTTTCACAGCTTCGTTTCGTTCTACTTAAATCAACTAATCGACCTTTCTGGAGTGATGAATGATGAATTAATTTGATGTTGTCATCAGTTGCAAGACTCCATTTTTATGATTGACTATTTCTATGATGTACGATGGGATCTTTTGCTGTCCAATGTATAAAACATATGGTTTTATGGAGCTTCATGTGACATATTTATTTATTTTTTTATTGTTACAGATATAGGTACGGATATGTTCTTCTGAATTTACGCCAACACTTCTCTGATTTTGCAAGATTATCTGTGTTTCCAATTAATAAATTGATTATGCCTTCAGACTTCTGATTTTGTGGCTTCAGAAAAATGATGCATCTTATGCTTATTATTTTGTAGATTCAAAAGTTTAACCAAAGGCCATCACTAGGAAGTGTGGGATGCAGCTCTATTGGTGGCCTGGATTTCATTTACACGCATTCTTAAAGAAGTAATTGCAGGTTCTGAGCCAAATGGAGTCTGAGGTATTATGTACCGCTTCAGCAAATTCGCGGACCTTCTCTTGACAAACATATCTCATAATTGTAGGAGGAGATAACTGGCATGATGCTTGTGGTCTATCTAGATTACTGCAGCTTCTGAAGTACATTCTTAAATCTTAACTGGTTCACCGATTCATTAGTGTTACTGTGTTTTGTGTTTCCTGAATTTGTTAACTCTCTTTTTCAGCACCAATGCAAAACTGAATAAGAGAAGGACCGAGCAAAAGTTAGCAACCTTAACTTGTAGCTCCTCATTATTATTGCATTCGAAATATGCGTTCCATTTGCTCTTGGGATAATTCGGTTCGGTGGTACAAATTAATCTGACATTCGTAGCGCGCTTCGTTGTCTGTTGGTGTGTATATAGGGGTAGACGAGTTCAAGTGACAATGTTGACTTTCACCCTACGGTATAGATGCAGACCGTAAGCGGTGTTGATGGGAAGGATCAGAAAGATGCAGAGCATGAGGAGATAAGCTGGGTGGTTGGAGGGAAATCAAAGGAGATTTAGGAACGGATGAAAGAGATAAGCACTCAATGACAGTGTTCTATTTGAAAGAATGATGTGGGGTTTGGGGATAAGGTGCCAGCAAGTGGCTGGTATTATTATAATCAGGGGATTAGGTCTGTGGGTTAAAATATGGAAAGAAGCTTCTAGGTTGGGAAATAAATTATTGATTACAGTGACTGGACCATAAATCCGTTTCTTTTCTTCAAGAATTAGAAAAAGTTTGGTTAAAAAAATGAAGAAAGCCTATTGTGATGATAATATAATCTTATAGCCAGTCATCGTGATAAAAGATAGGCCCCCAAAAGGATACTTTATTGAAAATAGGCAATCGGTAGCTTTGTCTTGGGGCAACATGTGCAGTCAAACAACCGATCTTTAGAGGACGCTGATTAATTAATGGCAAACAGGATGATTTAAAATAGGCAAGTGGGAAATAAGGAATCAGATGAGATGTATCAAATATATACATGTATAATTTGAATTATTTAGATTGGTTGGGAGCAATTTATTATTATTTTTCACCGAAGAAGGAGGCTTCTCATCTTTCTTCGTGTGGCAATTAAAATAGACTACACAAGAGGGAAAAAATAGAAAAAGAAAATAAGTAAACTAATAAGTATTGTGCATAGTGTGATACTAAAACCTATTTAACTAATTTAATTGGATTAAGAAAAGTAGATAAGTTAGTTAATTATAAAAAATAATAATTTTTTTTAAAGCATTATAATTATTTTCTTTAATGTTCTTCCTTCTTCTCCTATTTAATTATAATTGATAGAATATGAATGGAAGTAATTTAAAAAAAATTGATAAATGTAAAAAATAGGTTTTATATTTAATATCAATATTAACTTAGCAATTAGGTAGCATGCGTGAAATCTGCAAGCATTAGAGTTGGATCCAGATCTATAATCACCGGCAGATGTAATGATGTATAATGGACCAAAAAACAAAGAAGAAGAAGAAATGAAGCAATGATTGGGCATTCAAGTCTGATGCGGCTCTGCGTCCTGGCCGGTGTAGTTGGATGGCGCCCGGTTTGTTGTCAGTTTGCATCTTCACTTGGACAAATCCTAGCTGCCGACATATTGCTACGCTGTGGGGCGATTGCTTGCTCCCTTTTAATTTCAACAGCTTATCTCAAATGTACACTCTTTTTATATAATGACATCCTAATATGCAGCACTGCATCCACGTCCACTTCTCACACCTTCCTCTTCATTTTGTTCCACACAAACACATCCACACCTCAGGCTGCAATCACAAATACAGCCAATTTCACTGATTACAGCACTTTACTAACAAAATATCCTTGCGTCGACCTTTATTTTAAAATTTTTAACTAAAAAAAGAGAGAGAGAGAGAGTTAATGTTGGTCCTCTTAAAATACCGTTCTTCATCACGTATACGCCCATAAATAACACGCATTACCGATCAATTTGATAAAAGAAATTAAATTAGGTTATATGAATGAAATGTTGGGGATTAGTTTCACAATAGACGAAAAATAGGCAGTCATCTTGAACAGCACTACCACTTTTTATTTTTCATGGCATCTCAAGCATAAAAATGTTTTGTTGAGAAATAGTAAGTAAAGGTAAGTGTAATTTGGAAGGGGGAGGGGAGACGACCTGGTCAAATTACTATTTCATGAAACCCGTAATCGTGAGGCATAGCAGGAAGGAAACAGAATGGCTAGCCATGCCCACGAGTTGATCTCTTTATCATTCAACACTGCATTAACTCCGGATCCTCTTCCTTCATCTCCCTCCCTCCATCTCTTCAATTTTGTCAATTTTATCACCCATCACCAAAGCTGAGCTTCTCGTCTCGGCAAAAATGGCGCAACTCCACAGATATGCTCCTGCTGATACTTCCAAATCTCCTCCTCCCACCGTCGAACAACTCCTCCGAGGTAATTAATATTCTTTCATGTGCCCACGCTTCTAGTCTTTTACATTAGTTACAACCATGACTCACCACCGCTCTACGTGGTGTATGTATAGGAGGAGAAGCCTCTAAGGGCTCACCGTCCTCCTCGTCGTCCGAGAGGTCCAAGCACTGGGACGCCCACGAAGATCATAGCCACCATCACAAGAAATCAGTTCTCACTAAAGTCAAAGAGAAGGCCAAGAAATTGCGCCACAGTCTCAGCAAGAAGAAGCACGATGATAACGTCATTCCCTCCCCGGTCGAAGATGAGGATGATGACGATACTGAATACCTCGGAGCCCCCAGTAATGTCATTCAGTCACTCTTTATTTTTGCAGAGATTCTTTCCTTATTTTCCTATGTGAATTCCAGTAATCCGTGTTGGGGAAAAAGATGGAGTCAAGTAACATTAAAAAAAAAAAAAAATTTTGAAACGCATTAATATCAAGTATTGTTCTTTTAATATACTCCTCACTTTTTTATAATATAATTTATATTGTAAAATAAAATATTATCTCTCCGGGCATCTTAAATTATTCTTAACGTGGATCTGCCAACCCTTTCAGTGTATGAATCGGAGCTGGCCCCTGAACAATACAAGGAGAAAACAAGACAGCATCCAAGAGCAGATGCAATCTCTGAGAAGCAGCATGCACTACCAAATTCTGTGAAATGCGGAGTTGAGAAAGATAAAGAAATGTCTCTTAGTCCCTCCAAGTCCAAGAGAATGACAGCTCATACTCCTGGTCCCAGCAAGAGTGCGCCTGATTACACAGTAACCCATTCCTCCCCTCCAAGTTTCTGGGCCTTTCAGTTGAACCCCGGAGCAAGCAACTCCATCGGCCCCTACAACGTCTCGCAAAGTTTCTTCGGCCGTGTCTTCTCCGAAAACTCCCAGATCCAAGGCTGCCTCCAAAGCGTCTTATGACCCCTCAACGCCTCAGCATGCTTCATCTGCTCCAGTGACCCCACAAGCTTCGGCGCGTAATGGCTACAGTGACCATATATGGGATAAGGGTGTTTCAGTGAAAGAGTATTTGATGAATAAGTTTGAGCCCGAAGAGAGAAGATGACAGGGCTTTGTCTGAGGTGATATCTGAAGCAATGAGTCCTAAAACAGCTCCTGAAGATAAAGGTGTGATGGAAAAGTTCAGAGACGCCGTCACTTCTTTGCTCCGAAATGATGAACCCTCACAATCTACAGCCCAAACTCCTGTCACGCAAACTTCATCTGAAATCCCAGTATCCACCAACGCTTATGAAGGTATTGGAGTTGTTCCTCTGATTATCCACCCTTCTCTAATTGCTCTATCTATAGAATCCCTCGACACATATAGAATGCTTTCTGTAGTGTCATGATAATTGTTTGTCGCATCATTGCAGTTGGTCAGGAGGAGGACCATGGCAGAATTCTTCAAGCCAACTGAATGTTCACACAAGATTTCTTTTCCGCATTTTTGTGTATGTATTCGGCATTCTTTATTGGCATTGTTGAGGATGTATCAAATACTTAGATCCTACTCTTCTGGTCCCAAAGATTTTATATTTAGGACTGGAGGAGTAATTCCTAAAGATCATTCATTAATGTGTCTTTTTTTTTTTTTACGTACAGTAATTAGTGTGGAATATTATCTGTGCATTTCACCACTACGGATAATCCAGCATATGAAAACTAAACCAAACCCAAACTAGATACTTTGGCATGGGCCCAGTGTACTAATAAAAAAATAACACTCCGCAATCCCATCAATTAGTTGGCAAAACTCGATTATTATCTATTAGTTATCACTGCATATTAGAATAAATCTATACAGTGATTCTTGCACTGTCTGCGATGAGTCATGAGCCCTATAAAGGATTAGTGCGTCATCATGAATACTAAACCATGAGTCAATGCCTTCGAGCAATTCGGGTATCTTCACATGCTACACTGTACAGCACATAACGCGACGCTCACCAAGTGGTAATGAGTTGTGATCATCCGGAGCTAGTTTAAGCCGTCACTTCAAGATTTTGGATTCAATATCTTCTAGGCTCAGACCTTTTGTCTCAGGAACAGAAGATACAACGAACAGGAGTGATAATAAAGCAATAGCACCAAAAAGAGAAAAAGGTTCTCTGCTCCTAGAATCTCCTGCATGATTAACACAAGGTAATACAAGATAAGGATAAACTAAATCCCAATAGTGGCCAGGACAATATTAGAAATGATTAAAATGGATAAGCAAATAAGAATTACGAAATAACACCAAAATAAAGAATGAAAAAAAAAAAAAAACCTTTAGTGGATAGAATGCAAAGGTCACAATAGCATTTGACGCAAAGTTGGTCAGAACTGCAAGACTAATCCCCCTTCCTCTTGTCCGAAGTGGGAAATTTCTGAAACCATAAGCCAGCTTATCGGCCCAAAGGATATCTGCAGAACACGCGCAAAATTGTTATTAATGAGGATATTCTTTTT